CCCCAAAACCCCAAAACCCCAAAACCCCAAAACCCCTCATTTATTAATAAAATTAAATAATGAGAGCTGGAAATAAATCAGTTGTGACTAAGAGATCACCTTTTCCGAAGGTGAAGTTGCAACTCAACGGGTTTGAGGAATCTAATAAGGAAGTCTTTCTCCTTCATGAGAGAAACCTGAAAGAGCACAGAGAGAGACTTAAGTAATCCGTTTAATAATTTTGTAGGAAAATCATGCAACAGACAATGAAAGTTCACTCAATTCGGAAGGACCATATGCATAGGGAACGATATTTGGCTAATAAGACCAAGATCCATAGCCTTGCATTAAACCAAAAGAAATCTGATATTACCAAGGAGAATAACATCCTTTTTAACAAACTGTTAGATATTTCAATGGGAAAAATGTCTAATTTACCTTTTGTCTCAAGTCAGAAAAATAGTTCTTTCCAAAGAAATTGCAAAAATCCAAAGTATATGAGAACGAGTAGCATGAATGCTTCTCCATCAGGAATGAATTTACATAATAGCAAAGTTGGCCCTCTCTCTAGTCTCCCTAATGATTGAGACATTAGTAGTCTAAACTACACAACTAGAAAATTAGAGAAGCAACGGATTGACAAGGAGAACCTAAAATTAGCAGCAAAGCTACTTTCTACAAAATCAAGGCTGAATAAAAATAAGCTCTTAGATGATTATAAGAAGAACTTGAAGTACAAAAAATTAAGGAGCAGGAGACATTTCCGATCAGAGACTCCAAAAAAAGATAAACTACCACCTGTGAAGAGAAGGTTGATTATCAGAGAGGAAAATTTTGATATAGATAACATTAAAGGTACACTATTAAATCTCACCAGTTTTATTTATAACTCAACTTAACTTTTATAGTTAATTCAGACTTATCAATAGACGAAGATGGAGGAAAATCTGAACTAAAGAATGTCACAAGCTCACTGAATAAATCTGCAATCGCAAAATCCTCCATCAAAGGTCTTGAAAACTACATAAGCCCTCATGAAAAATAAAGTCCGAAAAATGAAAGCAAAGAAACGGTACAGAAACGAAATCAGAACCGGCCCTCATTCCCCTCGCCAAATAAACTTCCCCAAAAGTGTGCTTAAATCCAAGAAAGACCACCTCTCCATCTACAGCTCAGAAACTTCAACTCTAAGGAAAAAGAAATCTCCCGCTCCAAAGCCCAAGTCAAAGTCAAAGTCAAAGCCAAAGCCAAAATCTAAATCTAAAAATTATCCTTATCAATAATCCTAAAATTTTCGGGGTTTTGGGGTTTTGGGGTTTTGGGGTTTTGGGG